GCATCAGGATGGATGGCGAAGAGATTGAGATTGTTCACAGCTTCAGTTTGCTCGCCTCCACGGTCAACACTCTTGGCACCAGCAGCCAGGAAATCAAAAAGCGTATTGTGATGGGAAAGTCTGCTATTAGGGACCGCTCCAAAGTACTCAAGAGCAACGGTGTCTCTCTGGAGACTAAGGTGTGCCTGATACAGGCCATGGTCTTTGCAATCACTTGTTATGCATCAGAAAGTTGGACAATGACTAGGGAGGATAGAAGGAGAATTGATGTCTTTGAGCTGTGGTGCTGGAGAAGAGTATTGAATGTACCATGGACTGCCAAGAAAACAAAGAGATGCATCCTAGAGAGGGTTAAGCCAAGCTACTCCTTGGAGTCAAGGATTCTGGGGCTTCGTCTGACATACTTTGGGCATGTTGCAAGGAGGGACAGGTCCTTGGAGAGGGACATCATGTTTGGGAGGGTGGAGGGACCGCGCAAGAGGGGAAGACCCTGTATGAGATGGATTGATTCAGTGACTGGGGTAATCGGGATGGATGTATCAGAGGCAGTGCGATTGGCACAGGACAGAGCAGGGTTTTAGGCTGTTGTACATAGGGTCATTATGAGTCGCAATCGACTCGACGGCACATAACAACAACAACAACAATCCAATTATCAAATAAATTCCTTATTTTTGTTAAAAAGGAGTAATGTGTGTAAAGTTAAACTACCATTTACTATTGTAATAAATTTAAACACATTGATATCAAGCTAGAATCAACTCATAGCTGACTCTCCAGCAGGTTTTCAGAGGCTGCAAATCACTCGGGAAGAAATTTTTCATCTTTTTCTTGCACAATTTTAACAGTATAAGCTATTATTTACTAGCTATGCTTTAACTTGAGGTAGCATTCCATTTGGTAGCTGTCCAAAGACCAGAGGTAATGGAAATGATACTGAGGTATTCAGGGTAGGCAAAGACTTCCCAAATCTTATATGTATAAGCAGAGATCTTTCTAATATTTATTTTACTATTGAGAGTATATACAGCAAATCATACATCAAGTCAACAGCTGCTACACAGAAAATTGAGTGACCTTGATTATGTTCTTACTCTCTTTTCCTAAACTACTGTTTGATTTTAGGAAGATTTCAGAAGATAGTTTTGGTTTAAAACATAAAGATTATCTTTAAGTCAACAGTTTCAGGGTTTCATCCACTCTCTGTGTTCACAGTAACCACAGCAGTAGATTTAGGTACAGAGGAGATTATGAGGATGGGGCCAGACTGGAGAAGGTTTCAATTAATTGTCCTTAAGTTCCAGAGTCAGAGTTGCTATAACTACTCCTAACAATATGATACCCCTGGTCACTTAGTGGTAAGAGCTTATACTGACAGCTCAGAGGCAAACAGTTTGAATCCACCAGCTTCTCCTTGGAGATACATGGTAATTTCTTTCTGGGCTATTTATTGCCTCTGAAAACACACTGGAAGTTCACAATAACAACAACAACAACATTGTAGTTCTAAATTTAGGTTTTTTAAGGAATCCCATACTATTTTATACATGGTTGTACCATTTACATTTTACCAGCAATGGATAAAAGTTCCAATTTCCCCGCATTCTTTCTATTACTTATATTCCTTTAAAAAACAAAGTTAAAGAATTAGTCACCCTTAGGGATCCTTAATGGCTTACTGGTAAGGAATTACACTGTCAATCCAAAGAAATGCATTTCAAATCCACCAACTGCTGCATTGGAAAAAGACGGCTAATCTCCTCTAATATGATTTATTGCTTCTGAAAACCTGGTAGAGGGCAGCTACGGGCTGGTTCTGACTTGATGGTACACAACAACAAGTAGCCTGTTGTTAGGATGACCACAACTAATTGACTACAACTCATAGTGACCCTATGATTAACAGATCAGAACCTTGAACTATTTTGCACCATCCTCAGGATCTCAGCCATGCTTTGCTTTGCTTTCTAGAGCTGTCCTTGGAAATCTTCATTTCGTGTGCTTCAGCGTTTTGTTTTAGCCTCTCAACATTCTAGTGTAGTTTTCAGATTCTCTTCTGACATCCATTTTGGCATTCTCTTTATCCCTTGTCTTGATTATGATCTTTTGCTTTTGTTCATGGATGAAATTTTTAATGTCATCCTACAATTTTTCTGGTCTTCAATCATTAAAAGTTCAGTGCCTCAAACCTATTCTTGAGATGACTTTTAAATTCAAGTGGGACAGATTCAAAGTTGTATCTTGGCTCTTGTGGACACATTTTTATTGTCTTCAGCTTCAATTTGAACTTGCACATAAATAAGTGATGGTCTGTTCCATAGTTAGCACCTGACCTGGTTTTAACTGTTGATTCTGAACTTCTCCACTGATTCTTTCCACTGACATAGTCAATCTGATTTCTGTGAAGGTCATCAGGTGAAGTTCATGTGTATAGTTGGCAACTATGTTTTCTAAAATATAACTAGTGTCTTAGTGGGAGTGAAAAGCTATCTCATTATGGCTTTGAATTTGCATCTCTGTAATGGCTAAGGACACATTTTTATGTGTGTGTGTGTGTGTGTTAATCATTTAAATCTCCTCTTGAAGGAAATGCTTATTTAATTCCTTTGCCTATTTTAGAATTGGATTATTTAACTTTTTTGTT